CCTCCTCCTGGTCGTCCTCCTCCTCCTGCTCGTCCTCCTCCTCCTCCTCCTGCTCGTCCTTCTTCTCCTGCTCCTCCTGCTCCTCGTCCTGCTCCTGCTCGTCCTCGTCCTTCTGGTCTTGCTCGTCCTCCTCCTCGTCGTGCTCTTGCCCCTGCTGAAAATGTGGCCCAGGAATGGGAGTTCTGGGAAGTCGAAGAGCACGAAGTTGCCTACAGTTGGCTACGGGCATTCAAAATGTTGCCCGGGAATGGAGTTCTGGGAACTCGAAGAGCACGAAGTGGCCTACAGTTGGCTCCGGGCATCCAAAATGTGGCCCGGGAATGGAGTTCTGGGAACTCGAAGACCACGAAGTGGCCTACAGTTGGCTCCGGGCATCCAAATGTGGCCCGGGAATGGAGTTCTGGGAAGTCGAAGAGCACGAAGTGGCCTACAGTTGGCTCCGGGCATCCAAAATGTGGCCCGGGAATGGAGTTCTGGGAAGTCGAAGAGCACGAAGTGGCGTACAGTTGGCTCCGGTTATTCTAAATGTGGCCCGGGAATGGCGTTCTGGGATCTCGAAGAGCACGAAGTGTGTGACTGTTGCATCCGGGTATTGAGAATGTGGCCTGGGAATGGAGTTCTGGGAAGTCGAAGAGCACGAAGTGTGTGACTGTTGGTGAAAAACGAGCCCGGCACCTGCCGCCCGGCAACTCCCAACACCTGCCCGGACCCCCCTGTGGAGTGATCATGCTGCTCTCTTTTGATCCCACTAGAAACCTATCAGTCTTCGCTGTTAGGTAATATCCCGGCAAAGCAACCTAACAGCGATGTGTAGAAGCATATCTGAAAGCATTCCCCTTAAGATTCAGATGAAAATCCAGTTGTCGAATTCTGCTGTTCTCGCAGTCGTAGTCGCATTCGCGATGACAGTCGCAGCGGCAACGGCAGTCGCAGTCACAGCCTCAGCCTCAGCCTGCCTCCTCCTCCTCCTCCTCTTTCTCCTGCTCCTCCTCCTCCTCCTCCTCCTCCTCTTCCTCCTGCTCGTCCTCGTTTTCGTCCTCCTCGTCTTGCTCGTCCTCCTCCTCCTGGTGCTCCTCCTCCTCCTCCTCCTCCTCCTCCTCCTCCTCCTCCTCCTGGTGGTCCTCGTTCTCCTCCTCCTGGTGCTCTCCCCCCCCTCCTCCTCCTCGTCCTCCTCCTCCTCCTCCTCCTCGTCCTCCTCCTCCTCTTCCTCCTCCTCCTCCTCCTCCTCCTGGTAGTCCTCCCCCTCCCCTCCTCCTCCTCCTCCTCCTCCTCCTCTTCCTGGTCGTCCTCGTTCTCGTCCTCCTCGTCTTGCTCGTCCTCCTCCTCCTGGTGTTCTCTCCTCCTCCTCCTCCTCCTCCTCCTCCTCCTCCTCCTCCTCCTCCTCCTGGTGGTCCTCGTTCTCCTCCTCCTGGTACTCTCCCCCCCCCTCCTCCTCCTCCTCGTCCTCGTCCTCCTCCTCCTCCTCCTCCTCCTCCTCCTCCTCCTCCTCCTCCTCCTCCTCCTCCTCCTCATCCTGGTACTCCTCCCCCTCCCCTCCTCCTCCTCCTCCTCCTCTTCCTGGTCGTCCTCCTCCTCCTGGTCGTCCTCCTCCTCCTGCTCGTCCTCCTCCTCCTCCTGCTCGTCCTTCTTCTCCTGCTCCTCCTGCTCCTCGTCCTGCTCCTGCTCGTCCTCGTCCTCCTGGTCTTGCTCGTCCTCCTCCTCGTCGTGCTCTTGCCCCTGCTGAAAATGTGGCCCAGGAATGGGAGTTCTGGGAAGTCGAAGAGCACGAAGTTGCCTACAGTTGGCTACGGGCATTCAAAATGTGGCCCGGGAATGGAGTTCTGGGAACTCGAAGAGCACGAAGTGGCCTACAGTTGGCTCCGGGTGGCCCCAGTCCACGAAGTGGCTACCGGGCATTCAAAATGTGGCCCGGGAATGGAGTTCTGGGAACTCGAAGACCACGAAGTGGCCTACAGTTGGCTCCGGGCATCCAAAATGTGGCCCGGGAATGGAGTTCTGGGAACTCGAAGAGCACGAAGTGTGTGACTGTTGCATCCGGCCTCCAGAATGTGGCCCGGGAATGGCGTTCTGGGAACTCGAAGAGCACGAAGTGTGTGACTGTTGCATCCGGTTATTCTAAAGGTGGCCCGGGAATGGCGTTCTGGGATCTCGAAGAGCACGAAGTGTGTGACTGTTGCATCCGGTTATTCAGAATGAGCCTGGGAATGGAGTTCTGGGAACTCGAAGAGCACGAAGTGTGTGACTGTTGGTGAAAAACGAGGTGGACTCAACCCGCCCGGCAACTCCCAACACCTGCCCGGACCCCCCTGTGGAGTGATTTGTGAGCTGTTTTTAGCCCACTAGAAACCTATCAGTCTTCGCTGTTAGGTAAAAATGCAGCGCCAGGATCGCAGGGTGGGGACGAACAGCCGGCCCCGGGGAAGTGGCCCAGACCCCTCCGGGGCCCACGCGTCAACCAAAAAAGTGGAGCAGCCCGATGCCTGGGAGGGGAGAGTCGAAGAAGAGAAAGCGGCACAGATGGCTGGGAGCAGCCAGAAGTCTAAGAGGGGAGAGTCGAAGAAGAGAGAGCGGCACAGACATAAACTGTTGGCGGTCCGCGCGGATTTCTCGGATCTGGGCTGGGACCCCCTGGCGCGCGAGGGGGGTCCCAGCGCAGATCCAAGAAATCCGCGCGGACCGCCAACAGTTCATGCTTATGCCGCCGGGAAGTGAGAGGGGGCGGGCCTCTGTTCAGCAGGCGGCGGAGGAATTTCTCGCAGACGCCCTCCGGCCTGTTCCGAGAACCCCCCCTCCAAGTGGCTCCGGACCCAGACCCCCGACGTCATGATTTTTTCATGACGTGACCCCCAGAGGTCCGGAGTTAGTCCCCGGGACCGGTTTTTCATCCTGAGTCGTTTTGTTGACGGTCCCAAAGCCGGGTGAGGGCCCCCAGAGGCCGAAGATGGCGAAAAACTTCCCATTCTGATTTTTTTCATGACCCGAGGGGGTCTGGGTGCGAGTGAGGGCGGCGCAGGGAGGCAGGAGCAGGGCTGGGAGGGAGGACCAAGACAGGCATGGTGCCATCACGACCCACGCGCTCGAGACGACATGACGACCGGCGCCCATATCACGAGGGGGCCTGGGGAGAAAGCATGTCGAGAGCTTCTCGGGAACCCCCGAGAGCGTCTGCGCCTTCGGGGGAGGCCCGGCCCTTGGGCGGATGAGGAGGAGGAGGAGCAGGAGGAGGAAGAGAACTGGCCCTGATGGCCTACAGCAAGGGCTACGACAACAAGAGGGCGCGTATCTGCACCCCAGGAGACCCCCAAGCAAAACCACAAAGCGCGGCCCGTTGCACCGGCATCGTAAGGCCATCCCAAGGAGTCAACACGGTTGAAATCTTGTCGCGCAAGTACACCTTCGTCTACCTCTATATCTACGCACCTGCAGCAGTGAAGGGAGGCTTCGTACGCACCACCTACCGACGTACATCACATAACCATTGCCTACCTCGCAGCACTTGGGGAGTGCTGGAAGGACAAGGTCAAGGAAAGCTGGATTATTGTACTGGACAACTTCATCGTGTACTCCAACAACAAGTTAAGGACCGACACAGACCATTGGATGGATCGACCTGATCATTGCCCCCATTACCGCACTGCTGCAAATACCGCACACAAGAAGATGCTCCAAACGACCGCGACCCCAACAAGTTCCCCATCCACAACTTGGAGTGGCACGACATCCAAAGGCTGGCAGCCACCGAACCACCACCACTGCTACAAGCACTACCTTGGAAGAACAAGGACAAAGAACCCTTCGCGAACCTCCAGACGCTGCACATCCTCAAAAGGAAAGGCATGGAAAAGCGCCACAACTTCGAGGAGATAGAGCGCAAAGCCATCCACAGCAACATAGAGAGATTGACCGAGAATACGTAAAGTTTGGCAATCACCGACACCTACGGAACCCTACACCCCACCTCGGAGATTGGTATACTGGCAGCATACGCAAGAGACATCGTGGAAACCCGCGGAGGAGGAGACCTACACCCATTCACAGACAACTACATACTACCCGTCGATCGCCATCACATCACTCCACAGACCACCGGCGGACTGCACTGCGAAGAAACCGACTTCAGAGGACATCGAGTACCAGTTGCTTCTGCCACCAACGAAAAATCGCACGCCTATCAGCATGGACAGGAACATACCGAACGCCACCACTACCCACGAAGGAGATCGACCACGTGACGACCCTAAAGCTGAGCTCACCCACCAGCGACTTCCACACGTGACCCTCCATCATAAACAACGCCCTCATCGAATGCCCAGCCAAGATACTACAGGAGATCACCACGACCTCGGAGACATGCACAACAAGAATCGACGGAACCACCAACGTCCACACGGAGGCACACAAGAAGGACACCATCGTTCACCATGTCGGCTTGACCACAGATGGAAATGCGTCACCAGAGATAAAACAGAGACCTGATTACGAATCACGAGTATACAAGCCACCCACCGAAATACTGCTAGGCGGCATCATGCTGATCAAGGTCAACGACATCGACAAGCTACCCGAACAGGACGCCCACAAAGCAAGACAGCACCCCATCGAGGACGAGGACAACCACAGTACTCTCCACTGGCTCCAGCACCACCAGGAGTTGCGCAACGCTGGCTGTCAGCCCACCAACTGGACCCAGAGCTACTTCCCCGAGTGGAATGCAGCCTTTCCAGAAATCCGACCACAACAAGCGCTACGACCAGCGCGCACCATCCCAGAAAACACCGACCTGCAGCTCATACAAAAGAGGACCACACCACAGGCCCAACAAACCATCCCCACCAGCTATGCCGACGACCTTCCAGCTCATATACAACCAGAACGCGACGCCGACAAAGCACCGGCCGCCACCGCCACGGGGACCACCACCAGGCAGAGCCCCAATACAAACCACAACGACGACGCCGACTCTGAGGAGGGAAAAAAGCACACAGACACAATTAATCGTCGATTCCCCAGAAAATATAGGAAAATGTGGGAACTGGGGGGGACGACAAAAACGTTGAAAATATGTGAAAATATTGGAAATCCTTTTATTTGTGTCTATTTATTTGTGTGTCCCAGGGCCCCTCTGGACTCCTCGACGCTTCCGCAGCCCCGTCGCTCTCCGCAGAGGTACAAACCATAGGCGACACCTCGCGGCGCGACCCGGCCGCGCTGCAGCGCTCTGCCACCGGTAGGGCAGGCCGTCGCCGGCGTCAGCAGGAGCCCCGCTGTACTGCCACAGCACAACATGCAGGCAGGCACAACTCCGTGGGAGTTCCCCGGCGACATCAACTGCGACCCATGTTTCCGTCGGAGGTGAGGGGGTGAGATCGAGGTGGAACGGAGAGCCCCCTTACCGGGAAATCGATTTCGGTTTCGTGTTTGTGCGTGCCGTGCGGGCGAGGCGAAGCTGCGTGGGCTGGCGAGAGAAAGTCTCCTGTGGCTGAGGCGCGGCCCCTCACCTCCTTATCACCCGAAGGGTGGTCTATGCGGTATTCTCTGGTAGTCGTAGGTGTAGTTAGCTCTGCTGCCTGCCCGCGAGCTTGAGAGGACACTTTTCTGTGGCATCAGGTCGCCGGCCAGCGAGCTTGAGAGGAGGGTGGGTGGTATAAAAAGAGAAAAAAAACTACGACCCATGCTGCACTCGACAGCTAACGGACCACATCGAGGCCTTCAGCATCAACAGGGGCGGCTGCTTCTACCTCAGCCTCAGGCCGACATTCCCCCCTCCCACGAACCACCCCCCAATGCCAGCACACCCTGTGAAACGAGAGCAGGTCGACAAAGCAATGACACAGACCATCCACGACCTACTCGGCAATCTGAGGACCCAATACCAACAGGAACAAGAAGCGCACGAATGGGTCGACCGAGCACACCCGCGGTGCAGCGACATCGCCGGCGGCACATCCTTCTCCCACCCCAAGGTCAACGTGGAACCCAGGCCGTCCCTCACACTCGGCAAGAACATGCGAGTGGTCGCACTCACACGTGAGGGAGCCCCACATCCTCCACGAGTCAGCCACATCATCCACCGCACTAAGCAGCTACGCAGCTCCAAACCAATACTTGCACCATACGGCGACCACAGCACTTCCGACCGCGAGAGACACATCGAGATACGGCCGACTCGAGACACGAGCACACACGAAGCCACCATGCACAAGACCGAAGACACGACAATGACTGAGGACAACAACATGGCGCACCTACCTAACGACGAACCACCTACGAACAACGCAGACGCATCTACCAGCGCAACCCCGGCAAACATAACACCAGCACCGACCCCCAACCAGCAGCAGCGACCAATCCAGCATAGCGGCACGACCCCAGCAGCGAAGCCTCCGCGATTCGAGGCACCTCCCACCTTCCCGCCAGTCCGAGAAGAAGGAGAAGTGCAACATACACACGTGATCGGCGACGAGGTCAAGACCAGACAGCACGACCTTGACATACAGGAGCAGCACACAACCATCAGGGAACCCTGCTGCCCCAACCCGACGTCCAACGACAGCATAACAGCACCAAGCGCCAACCAACCACTTGCCATAGAAGTCGTACCACAGAGGCCCAGTGGTTGGTTCCCCATCACCACGATCGCGCACGAGAAGGTCAGCCCCGACGCAACCAACTTCCCGATGGAGGCAACCATACGCCGCTCGTTGCACGCCAAGTTGCAGGACTCTCTCGACCACGGCACAATCACAGTCAAAGCGGGGGACGAGGTCACAACCATCAGCATGTCCTACAGCAGCAATAACGATCTATGGGCACGCGGCACCATCACCCAGACCAACGCCATGCGGAACACCAAGCATTCTCTGAGATCAGATATCATCAACGAGTACCAGTCCCAACACAACGACACCCAGGAGGAGCTCGACATCCTGACGACAATGGTTGGCAAACAACATGTCAGCTACAACCAGGCCCTCAATATCCGACAGGAGATCACCCTGACCAAGGAACCCATATCTAAGCTCACCAACAGCCTAGGACTCCATCGGCAAACTACGCCCATGAACCTTGGCGTTAGCCATCTTCGCCACAGCTACCAAACACTGGACGACCGCACGAGGTACCCACGCGCCCGACGTCGTCACAGCCCACGAAAGCGACCTCCCGACCTCCGATTCACGCTCCAACCACTCTCCATGAATTGCAACCTCCTGGACTTCATCTCCCTCGTCATCAGCAACAGCCTTGTCCTGATGCACGACCACCTCTCCTTGGACTTCAACTTCCTCATCACCAACAACTCCATCCTCGTCCTGAAATACTTTCACCTCTCCAACTACATCCTTGTCCTGAAATGCTTCCACCTCTGAGGGGGGGAAATGGAGGGATGGGCATGGTTAGGTTTGTGAGGATGTTTGTGGTTATGGGGTGGGGGTGGGGATGAGTGGGGCGGGCGCCACCCGCACCGTCCCGCAGCCCCCTCTCTCGTCCTCCCCTCCTCGTTCAGAACGTCGTGCGTGCCCCTCACTTTCGACCTCCTCTTTCGGTCCCTCGTCCGTTTCTCCCTCCCCTGTTCGTCGTCGGCCCACCACATCGGGCGGAGCGGCCCATCATCGGAGTGGCCCCCTCCTGCGGCACCATACGGTGCCCGCAGGAGGGGGCCACTGGCAGCACCTCTGAGGATCCACATGCCATTAGTATCAATATAAAGAGGAGGGCGAGGAGGAGGAGGAGGAGGAGGAGGCAGAGGAGGAGGAGGAGGAGGAGGAGGAGGAGGAGGTAGCATCAGTATCAGGAGGAGGTGGAGGAGGAGGAGGCGGAGGAGGAGGGAGGAGGAGGAGGAGGCAGAGGAGAAGGAGCAGGAGGAGGCCCCCTCTGCCTCCCGCCCCTCTGGGCGCGCCGCCGGGCCTCCCGGACGGCGGCGGGGACGACCTCTTCATCCCCGCCCAGGGCGCCGCAAACGGCTCGCGGGTGCCCCCGCAGCCTGGGGGGCTGTCCAGGGGAGCAAAACAGGTACCCCTACCTCCCAAGACCATGAAAAAATCACGACGGGAGGTTTTTCGCCATTTTCGGTCTCCGGGGGCCCTCACCGGGCCTCGGGACCGTCAAAAAACGATTCAGGATGAAAAACCGGTCCCAGGAAATGGGTCGGGACTTCTGGGGGTCGCGTCATGAAGAAATCATGACGTCGGGGGTCCGGGTCCCCAGAGATCCGACGCTCCCAAGAAAATGGGAAAGGCGGGATTTGGGCAGTTTTCGGCCTTCGGGGGCCCTCGCCAGGCCTCGCGAGGGCGTCAAGGAACCACTCGGGACGAAAAACCGGCCCCGGGGAAGTGGTCCAGACCTCCGGGGCCCATGCATCAATCAAATTGGAGCAGCCCGATGTCTGGGTCTACCCTTCCATCGTTTCCCCCCTTGTTGGGCCTCCATGGGAGGCCTTCGTCGCCACCGCTGGATGCGCCTCGGAGCTCTAGTCAGAACGCACCCCAGGAGAGGTCCGGGGAGTAGCGGTTTCGGTACCTTCCTAGACATGCGACGTCCTGATTTGTTCAGGACGGCGTCCCTGGAAGTCCCGACCCTTTCCCCAGGACTGGTTTTTCGTCCTGAGTCGTTTATTGACGGTCCCGAGGCCCGGCGAGGGCCCCACGCGGCCGAAAATGGCTAAAAACCTCCCGTCCTGATTTTTCTGCGACGCGATCATGTCTGGGTTTTGATTTCCCCAGGCTGTTCCACGGCACCCGGGTCAGCTTCAAGCCGCTGGAGCTGAAGCCTGGCGACGAGGGCAGCTCTGGGCGGAAGGAAAAGCAGATCGTCTGCATGGACGTGAAGGCTCTGGCTGGGCAGGCCGGGCTGAGCGTCGGCGTGGACACGGCCGCGGGCCCCAAGGAGAAGAACGACGACCGCATCGCGGCGTGCGACCTGCACGAGTTGGGCTTCTTCTGCGGCATCTTCGACGGGCACCGTGGCCACGCCTGCTCGGAGTATGTGTCCAAGCAGCTGCCGACGGTCGTGCACACCACCTACCGGGCCCGCGCCAAGCGGGAGGGGAGCCTCGTCCGCATGGCGCACGAGAAGGAGGCCAGCATCATCTCGAGCGCCATCAAGGAGGCCTTCGAGGCCGTCGACAGCGCCTGGCTGGTGACCGCCCGCAAGAAGGAGCTGGTCGGCGGCTCCACGGGCATCGTGGCGCTGGTCAGCCACGGCTTCGAGGTGCCCGTGGCGCTCCCCTCCGCGTCGAGCCTCGGCTGCGCGGCGCTCTGGGAGGCGCGCGTGAAGCCTAAGGCGGCCCAAGAGTCGACGACGCCCGAGAGGAGGCCGTGCACTGTCCCCAGCTTAGTTGCCTCGAGACGCCCGTTTTGACAGGCAACACGTCCCGTGTTCGAGACGTCCGTGTCAACAGGTTGCGTGTTGGCTCCGCGTGTTGGCCCACGTGTTGGCGAGTGCATCGCGTCGGTCCCACGTTTTCGGCCTCTGCGTGTTGGGCTCCGTGTCAGCACGCCACGTGTTGCGTGTTGCGTACTGGGGGAGCTAAGGTCCCCAGCGCCCCTGGCGGCGTTGCCAAGCTCTTCGTCGCTTGGTGTGGGGATTGCCGCGCCGTGCTGCTGCGCGGCCGCCAGGGCCTCCGCGTGTCGGAGGACCACCGGCCAGCCAGGGCCGACGAGCAGAAGCGCGTGAAGCAGGCCGGGGGCATGGTCATTCAGGACAAGCGAGGCATCTGGCGCGTGGGCCCTCGGCCGGACAACAAGTACGTCAAAGAGCTGCAGAAGCAGAAGAAGGACCCGTCGCAGGATTCGAAGTGGTTTCTCTCCACCTCGCGGAGCTTCGGCGATGCTGAGCTGAAGCACCCGGACCCGGTGGTCATCGCCACGCCCGAGTTGAAGGTCGTGGATTTGGCGCCGGAGGATTGGGCGGTGGTCTTGGCCTGCGACGGCATCTTCGACGTACTCAGCGACCAGGCACTTTTATTCATCTCTGTCTTTACAAGGGGAGGCTGTTAGAGACAGGGAAACAGGTGAGAAGGACCTTTTCGTGTGGTCACCTGTGGGTGGATCTCGGGGTTGCTGGAGGGAGATGCTCGGGGCTAGGACCTCTGTGCATGGTCACCTGTGGGTGGATCTGGAGGTCTTGGAGGGGGAAGTTGGGGAGCATGATTCCTGCACGTGAGCACAAGTGGGCGGATCTGGTTCGTCCCAGCGGGGAGGGAGAGGCTGTGGGTGTGGTGACCTGTCGGTGGACCTGGAGGCTCTCGCAGGGGGGAGCTGCGGAGCAGGACCTCCGTGTGGAGCCCCGCTCGCCCAGCCCCATCCCGGCGGGACTGCCGGTCCGCCGGCGCCCGGCCGCGCAGGTCGTCGCCGACTGCGCCTGGAGGTGCATGGCCGGGGAGGGCAAGGACCCGGTGCAGACCGCGAAGGACATCGTCCAGCTGGCCTCGCGGCGGGGCAGCAAGGACAACCTCACGGTGGTCGTCATGCGCCTGGGCTGGGTGCCCCCGCCAGACGCGGGGGCCGCCGCGCGCGGCGCGGAGGCCGCGGCCAAGGAGGCGGCCGACGATGGCCTGAGCATCTTCGGCTAGCCTCCCGGGGGTGCGGCCGCGCGCGCAGCGCGGGGGCGGCGGCCAGCGGGAGGGAGCCAGTGGGCCAGCGGCGGTTGGGCGCGGTCGTCAACTCGAGCGGCCGCGTTATCATCAGTTGCCTTCCTCCTCCCCCCTCCTGATCGTCATCAGCATCCTCGTTATCTTCACCTTCGCCTCCACCCAGCTATCCATACATTCATGTGCATGGCCAACACCGTCCATCGTCGTCATCGGCACCAGCATCGCCATCCGAGTCATCAACAACAACATCATCGTCAACAAAGTCACCGTCATTCGTCACTCGCCATTGCCACTGTTATCGTCACCATCGTGCCCCCTTGCTTGCCCTGTCGTCATCATCACTGTCCTCTTTCCCCAATCAGCGCTTCCACTGAAGGGGTCCTAGCGGAGATTGAAAGATTTCTCGAAAGTGCCAGGCCGAGTTCGGTGGGCGGCCGGGTTCCCGGGTTCCCAGTTCCCGGGTTCCCAGTTCTGGGTTCCGGGCCGATTTCGGTGGGCGGCGGGGTTCTTGGTCTCCCAGTTTCCTGGTTGATCTTCTAATCGATCGGTCTCGCCATCGATCTCGTTACCAACTTCTCCATCGATCTCACAATCGATCTCATTGTCGATCTCACAATCGATCTCACCATAGATCGCACGAGCGATCGCACGATCGCTCTCACTATCGATCTCATTGAATCGACTTCACTGTCGGTCTCACGATCGACCATGCAGTCGTCCTCACTATCGGTTCCACGATCGATCCCACAACGGATCTCCATATCAGCATCGTTCATGTCCCAGCCGTCCACCGATCGTTTTTTTTCCCTGGCGCAGTACGCTGTGCATCCTCGTCGCCCTGCCTCCCCTCCTCCAGCATCCTGCTCCTCACGCTGCTCCGTGACCAGTCAAGACGCCGACGGCAGAGAGGAGAGAGCACCTCGGGCCGTTCCTGACAGTCGGGGCCCTGAAGAAGGAACCCTTTTCGTTGGGGAGGGGCTCCGCGTTCCTTAAGTGTTTCACAGCTTGCCTCAGGTTGTCCTTATGTTTTCGATCGGAAATCGAAGTTTAACTTATGGAAAGAAAGGGGCCTCGTTCCTTATTTTGGGTTCCTTAGGTCAAGGCCCCGACTGTAGAGGTCTGGGCCAGGGGACCGAAGGAATAGTCGGTCGTGGCCGCGGCCCGCCGTGGCCAGCAGAGCACGCCGGGTCCTCCTGCGGGGCGCCCCTCGGCACGCACCACGCCTGCCGTGGCTCCCTCCCAGCCCTGCTCCCTGCCTCTCAGGAGGGAAAAAGACACACAGACACCATGAATCGTCGATCCTCAAGAAAAGATGGGGAAATATGGGAAGTGGGGGGGGAGACAAACACCCAGAAAATATGGGAAGTGGGGGGGAATCTGGTGATTTGTATGTTTTTATTTGTGTGTCCCTGGGCCTCTTTAGCCTCCCTGGCGCCGCCCGCACCCAGAGGCCCCCCATCGGGTCATGAGCAAAAAATCACGGCGGGAGGCCTGTGGCCAGTTGCAGCCCCCTGGGGGGCCCTGGGGAGAGAGCCGCCAAGGGGAGAGTCCTCGGAGGAGAGCCGGCCGAGGAGGGGTTTGGGAGGAGCGCCGGTGTAAAGTTCCGGGAGGCGCCTTACCGCCCCCCCCTTTGTCGCGCCTGCTCCGTGCCCCTGCGCGAGTTGCCCTCGGAGCCCTCCGCTGCCCGTACCTAACCGAGGGAATCGATTGAGGAACCCCCGTGTGTGATCGTCAGCACCGACGTGGAAATAAAGAATTCGCGGGGGCGGGTTTAGCGGAGCGATATCTTGAGCATCACACCACATCGCAAGAAATAATTGATGTGTCCCGCCCCCGCGATCGACATCTAAGGATTGACGGCAAGAACGCAAGAGCCTTGAATGCCGAAGATGCGAAAGATTGTGATGACAATGATAATTGATTACTCCTGTGGCGCTGACTTTTTGCGGAGCTGAGCCGGGTAAAAGCAACACCGAGTTGTATTTGTGTTCTTCCTCCTCCTCCTCCTCCTCTTCCTCCTCCTCTTCCTCCTCCTCATCCTCCTCCTCTTTCCCCTCCTCGTCCTCCTTCTCCTCCTCTTCAGGGTGCCAGGAGAATGCGTCCGGATGCTGGAGTGCTGGATGCGTTATCGTGGGGGGGTCCTTCAGCGCTTCCTTCGGTTAATATTCTACAGGGGCCAAGCACGCTATTTTCCCACCAGTCGGGCCCGTCCAAAACCAATCGAACATGCACAGGATCTGGCTCGCCACTTGGATCCGACGCCCGACCCTGCGCCCATCGCCCGCGACCTGCCGCCAGACCATTCTTCCCTGGGCTGGCTGGGCCAAGCGGCCCCTGTCCTGGCTGGAGCGACAGTGTGGTGCATTTGTGCGAGTTGGGACTCTGGGCAGAATCGTACCAACTGTACCTGACTGCTTGTAACAGACAGCCAGGCACAGTTGGCACGATTTGCCTGGACTGGAAGCGTGACTGTTTTTGCCTGGACTGGAAGCGTGACTGAATCAACGCATGGCCGTCTCAAGAAGGTACTGGCGACGACGACGATGACGCCAGCGACGGCGAGGTCCCGTGATCAGGACGCGCGACGGCCAATGCGTCGGAGCCCAGAGGAGCAGCTCAGTAAAGTTGCCCGACTGAGGAAAGTCCTGGAAGGAGCCGTCTGACTAAAGTTTTGGGTGGGGCGCCTGAGTAAACTTCTAGCAGGCGCCTTACCCCCCCTCTCGCGCCTGCTCCGTGACCCTGCGCGAGTTGTATTCGGAGTCCCTCGCTGCCTATTTCTTCATGCTGTACAAGTGTACAGTGGTCCGACAGGGTCCGTGCCAAGCACGCTATTTTCCCACCGCTCGGAACCGTCTAAAACCATTCGAATTCGCACAGGTTCCGTCTAACAAGCATCGGATCCGTAGCGGATCCGTAGCGGATCCGCACCCAGATCCGACGCCCGACGCTGCGCCCATCGTCCGCGACCTGCCGCCAAGCCCTTTTTACCCAGGCTGGCTGGGGCAACGGCCCTTGGCCTGGCTGGAGCGACAGTGTGGCGCCCTCGCGCGATTTGAGACTCTCGGGCCGGATTCTCGCGCCGCGCAAACTTACCAGGGGCTCCGGAGTGGAGCGGAGAGCCTGGGAAATCTCGGGCCGGGGGCACCTCTGGCGCTCGGGGCGGTGCTCGCCGCGTCGGCCCTCGCCATGCTGTTTGCTGCTCCTCCTCGCGCCCCGCGTGCGCGAGGGGGGCCCTCCTCGGCCGCCGCCCGTCCGCTTCCCCCGGCGCCATCGGGCCGCCGCGGGGCGGCCGGGCCGGGCGCCCGCCGGTGCTCGGCCACCTGGTGCGGGCCTGCAGCTCCTCGGTGCGCACGCCCGCGCTCCACCGCGGGAAGCAACGGGGAACTCCTCGGTGCGCACGCCCGCGTTCCACTGCGGGAAGCAGCGGGGAAGTCCTCGGTGCGCACGCCCGCGTTCCACTGCGGGAAGCAACGGGGAACTCCTCGATGCGCACGCCCGCGCTCCACTGCGGGAAGCAGCGGGGAACTCCTCGATGCGCACGCCCGCGCTCCACTGCGGGAAGCAGCGGGGAACTCCTCGGTGCGCACGCCCGCGTTCCACTGCAGGAACCAAAAAGGGGAACTCGCCTCTTGGCGCCCTTCGCAGCTGAGCTCGACAGCCCAGATGCAAGCACGGCCAGCGCGTGCGCGCACACTCGGCGGGCAAGAAGGAGTGAGCCTGCCCATGGCAGGCCGGCTCGCGTAGCGATCCCAGTTTGCCTGGCGGCCTTCTGCTTCACGCTGCTGTGCCAGTCGCGCCGTGAGGAGATTCAGTGCTCACGCGTTCCCCATCTCATCTCCGCACAAACAGCTGGCAGGCAAAAAGGTGCTGGCGCTGAAGGCCCTGCCGCACGCCTACGCGGTGCCTCGCCCTCGCAGGCCCCGTACGAAGCTTTGCCACCCTTCCCTCCTGTGCGCTGGGTTTGCGGCGTCTCTCGGCGGCTGTGCCCTCACAACGCTGCTGCATGGCGTGCACACGCTGGCGCCACTGCCTGCGAGGTACAGTAGGGGGCCCATGCCAAGAAGCACCCTGCTTGCCTCCAGGGTGCCCTGGGATTCTTGGGCTTCGACGTTTTTGCAGTGGAAAGCGTGACGCTCCCAAGCCAAAAACCCATGGACGTCCAAGGGCCTCAGGGCTGGGTTTCTCGTGGAAGGTTTCTTGCGGTCGGGCTTCTACTGTACGGGGGAGCCTGCATCCTGATCATCACAGGGGCCAGCCGCAGCCACTTCGTCCTGCGCCTGTCCCTGGCTCGAAGAGGAAGAAGGAGAAGCGGCACAAGCATGAACGTTCGGAGATCCGCGCGGACCTCCGAAAGTTTGCATGCATGCTGCATGCGGTTGCCCCTCGTTCTGGCGAGGGTGGAGCAGGTGCGCGGTTCGTTCGACCGCGATGGGCTGTGAGGAGGCCGCAAGAAGCGACGCTCGCCTGCTCGGGTGTGGGCATGCGTTGCCTGGCCTCCGCGTCGCGGAGCGCTCTCTGACGCGCCGCAGTGGCGAACCTTGATCCATCGAGCCATCCTCGTCCTCACTGTTGTCCTCCCTTGTCCTCCGCCGTCCTCAGCGGTTCCTGACCCTTTTCCCGCACACTCTACCTCCTCTCATCCCTGCC